GTGGCATTCTTTGGAAAAGAAACCCATTTTCCTGTTCCTTGGACTCTGCATTAGGATGTACATGTACTGCCAAATTTATAGGAGTATTACTGCCAAATATTGCACATCTTTTTCCTAAATTTAGATGGGCTTTGTGACCTCTTCGGAGATGGAGATCCAAAGCACAAAAGCTATTGCAGAAGATGTCTTAGCCCTCCTTCTATCTTGTCTGGACTGATACAACTCCATATAATACTGTTTCTCTCCAACTACCTGCAGCACTTTGATAAAAGTTGGCATGAGCTACGTCAACTTTTTACTGGCGTGACTGAAAATGTGAGCGTATGTACTTCCTCTGACATCTCTATTACAAGACTGATAGCATCTGAAAGTGCTGCAGCTATTTGCTACATAATCATGAGTCAAAGCTCCTACATTGCTCTCAATGATTTGGTACAGGTCATGTTTTTCTCAGAAAGAAATCACCTTGTTTCAACAGCTGAAGAATTCTCATAGTAGCTTCTGACCTGAAAAGGAGTATTTGTCCCCATCTTCTCATGCTAGAGTGCACATGGCAGTCTGTGATGAGCAGGATATATATTTCTCTCCAATACACTTTTCAAACTACCATAATTAGTATCTATAAAAAGGACTAAAGTAGCAATTAACTAAATAATGCATGTTGCTCATCAAAAAAATATAAGTTTTCTAAAACTGATTCAAGTTAAGGCCTTTTTCACCACTTATTTCATCGTTCTGCAAGTTACTCATCCATCAAGCAAGAAATAACCATGTACTACCCCAGACATAACTTTCCTGTTGAGAGTTAGAGCAGTATCTTACACAGTGATGTCTGACCACTCAAACACTGCTCCATTTTACTCTGCTAAGTGGCTTATGGGGTATCTTCATTAATTCATGCCAGATCAATTTAGTTCACTCCCTGCTTTCTGTTTCATTAAAGTTCCTGGAAGCTAAGGCTGCTCAGCACCTTAAGAACACTCCTTTGGATCAAACCTTTCTAATTTTCAACTGTAACAACAATAATTGTCCAGATCCCTGCTGTTTTAGTTAGCATCGTATACATGTACCACCAGACTAAGAGCTGGAGTCACTGAGTCTTATTAAGAACATTTGCAAACAGACTGACAAAAGCAAGGTCTTTTCTGTGCTTTGTGTGAGAGAGATCTGATAACACTTCTTACGTTAAATATATATTAAAGAGCTTGATGTTACTAATTAATGGAAGGGATATTTTTTTTTTTTTTTGCATGAATATGGACTGCACAGATGAAGCACAACTCCTGGTATCAAAGTGCTGTGGCACTGTCCTTCCTCAGGAAGTGGTTCAATGCTTATAATTATGGCAGTAACTGAACAGTCATACTGCAGGGCATGAAGCACTGGCAAAATACAAAATTCAGCTGAATTATGAGGGATTGTCATATGTCATGCCCAGAGAAATGTCATTAACAATACAGAAGCAGAGCATTGAGTCCATTGGTTTGTTCACACTTAGATTTTGCACACATTCTAAGGGTTGCTGTTGAAGAACAGACAAAAAGGCAAAAATGGTTCTGTTTCATATTGCTTCCCTTCTCAACAGCCAATTCTAACACAAAGGATGTGTATGCCTGAATGTTCATCCTGACTGTGGAAACACTGTACTCGTTTCACATCTGATGAAACCTTCACACTTCATGAAGAGCAGTGTGGAAAGACAGGGATTCCCAGTATGGAGAGAGAGATTCCCTTCATGGCTAATATCACTCCATCAAGAGCTATCTTTAGGAAATCACTAGAAGAAATGCCAATCGACAATGGCATCCGCCTTCATACAGCCCTTACTTGTAAGCATCACAGAAGCTGAGTGTTTTGGATGCTCTTTAGACAGCATGGGAGGCCGGTCAGTCATTCAGCCTGAAACAGTCACTTCACTTCCTAGCTGCCTCGGGTTTCTTAGGGGACTCAGCTGAGGTATAAATGATTCCCTAAACCCAATAGCAAATACTGTGCAGGCAGAACATAAGCACTTATCTCCTCCTAACAGAAAACCAGGAAGCTTTCAGGCTAAAAAAAGAGATGCTTGCTGTATTGTGCAGTCCTGGAAAGTAAATTTGCTAGATTGCTGTCTGGTTGGTGAGATTTATCCTCCAAGGACTTCAGTCTACTGGATTTTACTTTGGATCCTAGCATCTGAGCCCCAGCCTCTTCTTTAAGGTTAAGGAAATCAAATCTCTTGACATTAAAAAAGGTGTGATACCAATCAAATTCAGATTAAGTAAACCTCAGGTGAGTTTTTAAACTTAACTTTGCAGTTCAGACAATCACAGTGCTGATTATTAATCTCTAATTAAATTTATAGACCAGATACAATCTAGCTAATCACATCTACCAGAGAGAAAAAGTGCTTCTAGTAGTATTACTGTTTCATATTCTGTAATTCTTGTACCGTATCAATCTATAGTTAATTTATATTATTATTCTAAAGACACAAACAGGCCTTCCAGCAAATTCTTCAATTTCATACAGCAATTTTTTTCTCCTGTTACCAAATAATTATATTAAAACTTATTCCACTGAATAATAGAAATTCCAGATTTTTAAATACATGAAGTTCCATTGTTCTAATAAAAAAAATATATCTGCAGGGAGTTTCACACAAATAGGAGTTAATGAACTGCGCCTTTTACATCAGTTTCATTCTGCTCCTTTGAAAAATAAGAGGAACACAGCATACACTAGAAACTAAGAAGACTCATAGCGGAGAAGAAATTAAACCTCATATGCACAAGCCACTGTTGCCATATGGCAAGGCATTAAGACTTCCTGAAAGGCTGTCTTCTCTGGTTAATTCCAAAAGGCCACAAAATACATGCACTAATGCAAATAGTGTTCTTGTTCAAGTTCAAGGCCCGTGAAAGCACTGCTAGTTGCTGTTTGTTTACAATATTTTTCATGGGCTCAAAAACAAAATTCAAATTTTAACAAAAATGCATTTAGTGGAGGCTCCGTGTTTAAACAGATTAACAGGTATGTTCAGAAATAATGAGTGGGGAAAAAAATATGCCACCTAACTTTGTCAACGTTATGGTTGCTTTCTCCCTGAAGAAAACCCACAGCATTTGCCTGGTGTTAGTTTAAAGTCGCTTGGATTAGTAACAGGAATTGCTGTATTAAGCAGTATTTCAGAAAAGAAGATACATTGTAGCAGAAATTTGGAGTGGATGAGCACCACCAACATTGACTCAACACAGTTAGGGGAGTAACTCTCCTCCCCCTGACAGCGAAGGAATGCAGAAGCACTCAGCACCTGATAGGATCAGGCTGACTGTGCAGTGACATGCTAAATTGATAGAAATTTTGTCTCTGAGTCTACCTTAGGTAAAATTTCCTGCAGAGACTTAACTTAGTGCCTACACTAGCAATAATTCAGACCCTTATGCTTACATCCCAACAGAGGTCTAATCTGTTAGCTTGCTGTAAGGATGCCTACTGTGCCTCAAAGGTACCATGCTGAAAAAACAAGTGCTGCTTTCTTTCAAAAGAAGAAACTTGGACTCTACCCTTCTTTAATATATCGGTGACTATTAAATATTGAACATAAAGTAATGCCTAAGGCAATCAAGCAGAAAATGGAAGAGCTAGGTCTAAGTGAACATTTTAAGAGTGTTAAGCTCTACCAGCTGAAGTTCTTCCGGGCTACATTTTGGCTGTATGCACCTCTTGACAGTTCTTAAAATCTAGAGACTCGTGACTAAGCCAAATCCCCAAAGCAGAATCCACACTTCCCTCTCCAAGGGCAGCACAGGGTTTCATTTATCCCCACCAGACATGCAAGTCATAAACAGGTTCCAAATTCAAAACACAGGAGCAGTGTTCTGTATGATATTGGGTAAATCACTTTACCTTAAGGAATTTGTCACAGAAAAGGTAATGAAACCCACTACTCACCTAATTCTCTAAAATTCTCTAAAATTGAATGCTACAATCATCAGTGTTGCAGTGACAGGTATTGGGTTCATTTTAGAGATTTCTAAACTCTTTGACTGTCAGTGAATTCATAATGCTTGCAAGGCCATTGCAGTATAGCCCCCACTGAAGAAGTGCAGAAGGCGAGTCACACTACTGAGCATAGGTAAAACCCTGTGTACCTCACAGATGTTCACAACTCTAGCAAATACTTCTTGAGCACACTGGTACCATATTCGTGCCACAGCAGCAGCAGCTCCCAATATACAAGAGTGGAGAAGTACCCAAGTCTTTGCCCAGTAGCAATCCTGGATACAACCCAAGTAACACAGCACTTGGAAACAAGGATGAACTGCAAAGCCTTCCCTCTGCTATCAAGATCTCCCTCTGCCAGCATGATGCATCACCTCTGTTTTGCAGTTTCAATCTCCCTTCTTTTTCCAATCCTTTCAAACTCATTTTTTTTCTTTTCAACAGTTCTTCCATTGTTTCTTCACATTCGTCTTTCTGAGACAGTCAGATACAGACTATCACATCTTGAAGAAGACCTGGAAACAACAGACTTCTTTTACTCTACGTGACACGAAAACGGGCAGCAAGTAGCTTTTTTTTTGTAAGAGTTATCCCATGCCAAAGTTCCCTATCTCTTCATCAAAAGCAATTTTTTAATGCAAGAAAATAACAATCTTGTTTGAGCTCCATCCATCAGGAACTACAGAAGTGCACAGCGCTCAACATAAGGAACAGCAGCACGTGTCCCACATGCCTGCCAAGTTCTCAAGTTTTCCTGGAAAAAAAATACCAGTCACATGTATGCTAACATTTGTTACTTTCTTCACCACAACAGATCTGTTGTTGAATCAGGTTCTTCCAGCCCATGCCAAATTCCCCATTTTTCTCTTTCTTTCTATAAGAAACTAACAGTTCATTTTAAGACTGTCCCCCAACCCTGGAACAAGTAGAATTTAAACTCCATAGGAAGGCTGAGGCAAATATAAAGCTAAGAATCTTTCCAAAGGACACCAAGTACAGAGAACAGTCACATAATGTACAGTGCAAAAATTACTTTATTCATTACCACATTTGTTTTCCGGTTTGACAAGTGCAAGGCAACTGTATTACCTTATATAGAACAGATACTGGCAAGGCACAGACCTGACAGACAACCAATATTTAACTCTGTGGATTACCTACCACAATGGGACACTGACAAGCAAGAAGAAAACACATTTAAAAAGAGGACAGCTGTTCTCGTTGAATTCGGCAGATATTCAGAGTCCAGAAGTGGAATTGCCCCATACACAAATTTTCATAAGCGTACCTTTATTTAGTGGGACCACATCAGGTCAAGATAATGCTGCCACACAAGACTAGGAAACTGGCCATTTTTAGGGAGCAAGGCCTCAAGTTCAAACAAATTACATGCCCCAAATGCCCTTCCTTGCTCTCTATTGCTCTGGCTGATTATGAAGAGAAGGAGAACAAAAATATTCAGTGTTCTCAAGCACAACCTAATAAATAGTATCCATTTAGCACCAGCTAATGTTAAAATGTACTAAGCAAAATACGAAGGTTTCTAGTTTTCTATGGCCACTTACTCGTTACATTACAAAATATTCAATCTTAATTAGAATTATCAGACTGTGACCAGGCATCTCATCCTGCAAATGTCAAGGTCAAATACAATAAAAATAAAACAGAAACAAAATAGAGAATACTGTGACCTTCAGTCCCACCAAGAGCTATGACCATTCTACTGCTGGTTTCAAGAAGTCTGGAAGCACTCCTTCCAAAGCTGCATTGCCCTTTGATGCGGCTTTCTGAGTAGAATTCTTAGGCTTAGGAATACAAAAGCTCATAAAGCTAGCCTGCATATCAGGTCCTGTAAGTACTTGTGCTTGGAAATGATGTGGGATGACTGGCTGTCTCCATGTGATAGGGGATTATAGAGATTCCCAGGAACATGGCAGTCAAGCTTTAGTGTCTGGAGTCATAAGTATGTGGAACTCCTCATGTGCCACATGGTTCTTCTACCTCAGATGCTCTTAAATGTACCAAAGCTCTGCTTGACACAGTTCTGCTGCAGCTATGCTTCCTGATCATCCTCTCTCTTGATGAGCTTTGTTATGGTCTAGTGGCATTTGTACAGGACTGTTGGAACCAGGAGATCTGTACGCTTTGGTGTGCTCTCTGCAGCCACAACTTCTGCTGGACAGGTAGCAGGATACAGGAAAATCCATTCACTCCAAGCCATTTGCTCTGATGACTCTAGGAATAAAGAGAGGGACAAGGCTGTCACCCCAATCTGACTCTCCTAATCAGAGATGTGTCAGACTGTTGCACAGGTAATATCTCAGCATGCATTTTGTTTTCAAGACAGTCTGAAATTTGTAAGCAGCTACATCCTGATCCCGAAAATGACCCATTTCTCTGATATGAGCTTGTCCTTGTCCCTGCTTCGCTTTACACGATTACAGCTTCAGATCTGTTCCCTTTACAATCACCCAGGGGTATCCCAATATATCTCCCCTCTCCCAAACTCAGACCCCAAAACAGACTCACCAATGTCCAAATCCTGCTTGCTGTCCAGAAGGAGGAAGGAAGAACTCTCTTCTCCATGATCTGGGCTGTGTGCCTGGAACATGCCCTCTTTCACATCAGTTGGCAGATGTGTGCAATTCAGCCAGAGGGCTCATAGCCAGTTCTCAAATGGTGATGGCCTGAGGATGAATAGTTGAGTCTTGTCTGCCTCTGAGCGGGGGCCTGCTGGCAGAAGGAGGAAGAGGAGGACTGGCTGTCCCAATGCAAAGAGCACATGCTGGAGTGTTTCAGGCATAAGTACTGTCTGCTACAGGACAGGGACCACGCCAAGATCTGACACTGTCTTTGGAAAGAGCTTGGTCTCTCACACTGGTGGCATGATCTTGACTAGTGGATGTCCCGCTGTAGTGCAAGTTTACCAGAGATCAGAGAACGCTGGAACCCTATGTGGACATACAAGATGCTTCTCCGGAAAGCTGAGTGTTGTCTTTCTCCACCCAACATTCAACCTGGCATATAAGAAAGAACTGAATGGCAAAAATAGTAAAAGTCTGAAACTTCTTTACTCGGAGTAAAAATTTCATCTGGGAGCAAGGACAGCTATACCTAACCATGGTGTAAGTCTCTTCAGACTTCTCTTCAGACAGTCTCTGCCCTTAATATTGTATTGGTGACCAATCTGTTGGAACACTCCTAGGCAATGAGTTCATTACACTGTGAGACTTTGGCAAAGTTATGATACCATGTGTACTGTTCCCAAATGAAGAAGAGATACAGGTGTCCCCTGGAACCAGTTGACATGGGGTTGCGTGTGACAAATGAGGTCTTGAAGAAGACCAACCGGAGAATTTAAAGGGGTGAGAGATGGGGACATAATGATGGCACCCAGTATGTCTGTACAGCCTCACAGAAATCAGGCTCTTCCAGTCAAATTTGGTCAATCAAGCAGCCAACATGTGACACTTGAAAAGCACTAACTGGTTCTCAGATCACTCACTGCGCTCCAGATGGAATTTCTAATGGATCAAAGATTTTGGATAATCACAGCTTTCTGGTCTTAAAGACAACTCTGCAGCTCTCTTACAGAAGAGGGTGGACAGAGATGTTGCTCTGTGATCTGTACAGACCCACACCACAGGCATGCTCCATCCCTACACTACTCATATATTTCTTGAATTCCTGTACAAAAATGCCAGAATCCACTACTGTTTTCATGAACTTCTGCTTCTCTTTCAGAAATTTTTGAATTGTTAATTGCAGCCATCTTTGTTGTTGAATGAACATTTACCACCTCATTGTAGCCTTTAAAAATAGATTTATCAAGAAAATGCCAGCAGAATATTAAGTATAGCTGAAATAATGGGTAGCATTGTAACAGCCTTCCCGAGGAGGTATTGTGCAGTAGTTGCTCACAACAGTGCAAAAATAGAATGACTGTTCTCCAAATCAGTAGCACCCCCAATATGCATTGCTCATGCCTCATCACAAGAAACACTTCTGTCTTATACAGCTGGACTCTTTCTTAACTCGATTCTATTTGCCAACGCTACATTTACTCAGATGTGTTAGCATCTTCTGTTGTTTCTTTCTTTCTTTCTATCATTCTTTTTCTATTTTTTTCCACTATTTATATTTATCTAGGAGTAAAACTCCTACCAAATAAAATGTTATCGATTGCCTGGGTCACCTGGAATCCTGTTTTCAGTAGTGACCCAAAGAGGATTTTTACAGGAAAGCAATTAAGAAATGTATGTGTGAGTACTACTGCAATGCAGGTGCAGGGAGAGCAGTGGGAACACTCTCCAGACACCATTCACAGTCAGCTTACACAGTAACTAACTGGATGCTGTTTCATCACCTTGAACTCCTAAAAATTATCTTCATATTTTACAGATTTCATAGAATTTGAAGCTCTATCTCCTGAAACCTAAGCACAATGCCTCAGTGGATGGCTTTGTACTGCAATGAGTTTCACTGTAAGGGACTAAAAGCTGCCAAGCACCATAAAGCTCTGAGAAACCAAGAACGCTCGGGAGACCCTCTGGGATGTGAATCTAAGGCAATGGGCATTTCTCTTCACAACCTGGCTTACTTTTCTTTTACTGTCAGGTTGTTCTCGTATTACAAGAAGAAAAAATAAACTGAAATACACAAAACAACTTCACATTTTGGCGACAAAAACAAATCAAAAACAAACCTGAGAAATTAGTCTGCCCACAAGGCTAAAAAATCCATGTACCTTCAGCTAATTGCAAATTTCTATGCCTTACACCTACAAAGACACACTGTTTCTCTATCAGAGTGCCAACTGGATCATTCACTGCTAACGCCTCTTCCTCCTCAGAGGCACCACTACAGTGGCACAGATGTTGCTTCACATGAATTTTTCTGTAACCTGAACTTTTCCTTGGTGTAACAAGTTTATCCATTAGATTTAACAGTGTATTTCTCTCCTCTTTTTTTTTTTTTTTTTAATCTGCCAGATGCAAAGACCTATAAAACCCTCAGAAGAATTAAAAGATGTGTTCTATTGTGATTATTGCTTCCAACGGTTTTTTGCTACTCTCCAAAATAAACAACAGCCACTAGAACTAAAAGCTAGAAACAACATTTAACATCTGAATTTAACCAAGTGACTCCTCTTCACTTGGCCAGGAGCTGAAGAGGTCACTACAGATAAGAAGAGTGAGAATGAGGTTTTAATTTCCGAATTTCCCATGCCATCCCAGCTCCAGATGCTTGTGGTCAACGAGTCCAGGGATGAGATGCCCACTGTAAGACAGGACAAGAGAAGTATTTACTCTGTAGAGGTGCTACACAATGCAGCTGGGATTGCTTACACACAGCTTACACAGCCTGAGACTCATTCACCAAAGGGGAAAACACAGAGGGTGCCTAAGTATAGACAAACTAATTTCATCTGCCTCATTTTTTTTTTTACGTATCTAAAAGAACAATATATTTTAAATAAAGTGTACAGTCCTTATTTTAAATTATTTAAAATATATTCAAGTAAAATCAAGATTCTATATGAATAAGTCATGTTAGAAAACAAAATAGCAGCAGCTAAGTCTCACAGAAGTTCTGTCTATGCAAGTAATAATTTTTTGCATACAAGAACTTTTAATTAAGACTCAGTTCTCAATTATGATATGTATCACTAGCTCCCATGACTTTACTTATATGCTGAGTGTATAGATCAGGACTATGGGTTTTTTTTTTGATTCACTGCATAACTGTCCAGGCCTAAATTTGATAGGCATTTTTTACTAGAAAAAGTCTTCATGAGCAGATGCATTTTTTCTTTTGAAAAGAACACTTTGAAATGCTGCTATAAATGAGACACTTAGAAAAAAGCATTTGAAATAGTGTAGATAATTACCCTTTTAGCATCCTACCACTATAGCCATTTATGTAACTTCTGATATATAGTCAAGAATAAACTACTGAATTACAAGTTGGAAGTCTGAAAGGTTATATTAACTTTCTAAAATTAGTACATGCTATTAAAAAAAAAAAAAAAAAAAAAAATTCTGTCAGAAGGGAAAAAAAAACAACCAAGAGGAAACAAACAAACAAAAAATCACCAGAACTAAACCTACCAGGTACATCTGAAAAGAAAATAAGTGGAGACACTCCACACCCACACAGGGCAACTTCTGAGCTCATTTGTAAACAGTTCACAGTTCTATATACGGAAGCAAAAAGTATTTTCTGGAGTCATGGAAGGAATGAGCTTTACTAAGTAGAGCTGCTATTCACATATCATTAAGAAATATACCACACAAAATCCCCTGTGATCAAGACCTGATATTGGTAGGTTCTGTATGAAGAAAAAGTCTGTATCCTAAGCTGCTTACTGCCTAAGCAGACAGACTATAATCAGTGTGGTGTGAACACAGTCTGTGCTATAGCACAGCATTCAAGCTAGCTCAGTTCTTTTATAGCTATGCTACCCATAAAAAAAGAAGCAGGCGTGAAACTGGACCTAAATCTCGGTACCCAGTCAATTATTGATGTACTATTTTTCTGTCTACAGTGCAAAACTTTACTTTATCTTGCAAGCTTCAATTTTCCTGAAATTTTAGGTGTAAGCTTTTTCTATGCTGCTCATTTCCTGCAGGGAAAGATACTGCATTCCAAGATTTGGCATAATAAAAACCTGAGCACTAAGCAGTACAGGGCGGACTCACAAAAGAACTCAGAGGTGCTGAAAATGCAAAAAAAAAAAAAAAAAAAACTTCCATTCATTCTCTAATACCCATGATTCTTCGTACTGCATCAAAATAATTTATTGCTTGAATTCTGGAGTAATAACTTGATGACTAGCTACAGCCATATCATCTACATGAGCATGGCATGCCTGTTAAACCATGTAACAATGTTGAAACATGCCATTCTCTCTACCCTGAAAGCTCACAAAGCAGCCATATCAGTGACTGTCCTCCTACAAGGAGTGGTTTTTCATGCCGTCTCTAGAGTTTTGTTTATGTAAAAACTCAACTTTAGCAAATATACGGCCTGCTCAACGTGCTTACTGTAAAACTTAATCAGGTACGGAATGATAATAGGAGTCAGGTGCTGGCCCAAAGACTGTTTACCAAATTTAGAAAGAAATCAGATCAAGCTCAGTTCAGCACTCCAGCCAGTTCTCAGCATTCCTACCAGATCACATCAAATGCCAACTGATTATGATTCATCATATCTTCATTTAGTAATGGCACTTCATGTAAGACCAGAATAATGTGAAGAATTACTGATACATTTGCCCACCAGTAACCAAGGTTCTGTCTAACTCTTCATTTGACCTTAAAATCAAATATAAAGTGAATGGTGGCATGACCTTGTTCATGTGGAAGTCATGGAATGAGAAATAAATAGAGCCAGCAGTAATTCTGACATTTCTCAAAGGAAAAACAATTAATGAATGTTTAAACTTCAAATGTGTAAGGCAAGTAATATTTAGTACTTAGAATTAAATCTTGAAATCCTTTCCAATATTTTTGAAAAGAGATTTATCTTAAACATGCTATAGCAGAAGACTTCATAGAGGATATGCTATTAAAAAAACAAAAAACAAAACACAAGAACCAGGTTAGCATTCCCATAAATATTACATTAATTCTACCCATGTATTCCATGACAAATTAGGTTAAATAAATTCTGACCTATCCCCAGATCTCAAAAGAGCAGCCACCTACTACGCACAACTTAGTAAGGCACTCTTCTTATGCTGATTTGTGTATATATATGCCTCCCACTTCCTGGTCAAGGGATCTCACAGTTTACATAGGCAACTGCATAAGCACACACACACACAAAGGTAAATGGCAGCCTTCTTTAGGTATCTTGTAAAAGACAGAGAAGACCATTCGTATCCCAAACATCTACATTAAGCAGTAGCTGTACACATGCATCACACATATAGGCAATGGGCAGGTTTTGGTAGCAGGAGGATGCACGGAGGATACCAGCAGCATCTCCCACCATGCACCCTCAGGATCCTCTGAGTGATCCTCTGGGTGGGGAACTCTCTGCCTTCACAATGCAGAAGATGAATTTAGGGCTGTAAGCTTCAATCTCAAGGACCAGTAAACTCAAGTCTACAAGACAGATTACTGTCAAACTACAATTTCAGGTGAAAGTAGGGAAATAAAAAAAAATAATCCACTTTCTTGCAGGATTCTGCTGATGCAATTTAGCATTTTATCTTAAGAATGATGGGGGAAAAACACTATATAAAGCCCTAGCTATTTATGGTTTGCATTCACTCTGCTCAGAGGAAAAATTGTGCTGACTACTACCATGGTAAGACATTAATATGTTACTTGTTATACTGACATGCTTTCTAGTAAAAACTTTACAAACTGAAATAATGTTGCTGAACTTCTGTTATTTATGATTCTAAGGCATTGTATTCCTATATGACACATAATTATTCATGCCCTAAGCACCTTCTTGACAGTGTGCTTCTTAAATTACTTTTTATAGATTAAATAACTTTCGCCAGCAAATCGTATCTTCTGGTATGTAAGCCATGCAAATGAAGCCAAAGGGAGCAGTGTGCAATTCAGACGAACAAGCAGGTCATTAGGAATTTCAGCACTGAGGTTCATGCTCCCGTCTCCTGTACCCTGTGTGACCAACCCCTCTGCACCTCTCCTTCTGGGATCTGTGTATTCTTCTCAGTACTCCTCTCATTTGACCTAATTTTCCCTTCTGCATCGCTTCAGTTATACATAAGTGCCTCTCAGCTGCCCATTCTTATTCCCTGTAAGTGGCAGATCCACATACTTGTCCCTTGAACTACTAGCCTCCTTCATGTCCCTTTCTATGTTACATGATCTTCATGTGTTTGGCCACTGGAAGGCAGTCTGAACTTATTCACCCAGTTCGTTGGCCAGCCAGAAGGTGTATCTACTAGGTGTATCAGATTAGATCCTGCATTGTCTTCCAGGTGCTGGTGCCTAAAAGAACCGTTCTATGTCCTTAACAATCAGGCCATCTTCTGTTAGAGAAAAGTGCAGTTCATAGCATCCTGTCTAGCTAAGACCAAGCTTAACCTGCTGAGGCTGAAGTTTCAGTAATGAAAATTCAGTCTAACATCAGAACTACAGTAGGATTTCTTAATAGTCTAGAGTTGTATTCCCCTCAGTTGAGTGGTTGTTACCACACTAACTCCATCCTTCTGTGAAGAGAATGGATCTTGACTGTTCTTTTTTTCCTCTCTAGCAATTATGGTGTTTGAGTGGAGCATGGGAAACCAACTGCTTTGCTACTTTTGCCGCAAAATCACATCTGGGAAACTGCAATTAGGAATCCCACCTAAGCTCGTTGACTCATTAATTGTTTAATCTCCAAACATCATTTTGTCCCTCTTCCCTACTGCACCTCACAAAATTCATAGAATCACAGAATGGTTTAGGTTGGAAGGGACCCTAGTTCCAAACCCCTGCTATAAGCAGGGGTATGTCCCACTAGACTAGGTTGCTCAAAACCCCATATAGCCTGGCCTTCAATGCTTCCAGGGAAGAGGCATCCACAGTCTTGCTGGGCAACCTGTTCCAGTGTATCACAGTAAAGAACTTATTCTTAATATTTAGTCTAAACCTACCCTCTTTCAATTTAAAACTATTTCCCCTCACCCTGTTGCTACATGCCCTTGTAAAAAGTCCCTCCCCAGCTTTCCTGCAGGCCCCCTTCAGGTACTGGAAGGTTGCTCTAAGGTCCCGCTGAGTATTCTCTTCTCTAGGCTGAAGAGCCCCAGTTCTTTCCAGCGTGTCCTCGCAGCAGAGATGCTCCAGTCCTCTGATCATCTTCGTGGCCCTCCAATGGACCCGCTCCAACAACTTCATGTCCTTCTTGTGTTGGGAGCTCCAGAACTGGATGCAGTACTACAGGTGTGGTCTCATGAGAGCAGAGTAGATGGGCAGAATCACCTCTCTCGACCAGCTGGTCATACTTTGGCCTGCTGTAACCCAGGATAAGGTTGATCTTCTGGGCTGTGAACACACACTGCCAGGTCATGTTGAATCATTCATCAACCAACACTCCCAAATCCTTCTCCTCAGGGCTGCTCTCAAGGCATTCTCCAATCTGTAACTGTGCCCTGATTGCCCCAATCCAGGTGCAGGAACTTGCTCTTGAACTTCATGAGGTTGGCATGGGCCCAACTCTCTAGCTTGTCCAGGTCCCTCTGGATGACATCCCTTCCCTCTAGCACGTCAGCTGAACCACTCACCTTGGTGTCACCTGCAAAACTGCTGAGGGTGCACTCAGTCCATGGTGCCCACAAAGATGTTAAATAACACTGGTCCTAACACCGATCCTTGAGGATTGCCACTCATCACCGGTCTCCACTTGAACACTAAGTGGTTGAAAGCAACTCTCGAGCACGACCATCCAGACAATTCTTTATCCAGTGAGCAGTCCATCCAACAAATTCA